AACTAGCTCGTCGGCTATTTGTATCTATGTTTGTGCCACTGAGAGCAATGGACTTTCTCTGTTCAGTCAGCTGGCCGTCGGAGGAGATGATAAGAGACCATTGTCAGACTTTAGAAAATGCAAAGTTAATGTGCAGTATGTTATTTGTAGTATCCTTAACATGGTATATTTTCAGAAATAAATAGACAGTAATGGTCTATATCATTATGTAAACATTTGTTTCAGTGTGCATGCTGGAAAATCCTGCAGTGTAAGTGGTTTGCAAGCCTGAAAATCGTATTTATTTAAGCAAATATTCTATGTGTTTTTGGGTCTCTGTTTGCATGCAATAAGTTTCTGATTTGTTTCCTACATACAGGTATAGGACCAAAACAATAAAAATGTCTCAAAACACTAAAGAAATATTTTTGTCTCTCCGTTACACAGAAAAGCAGTTTATTTCAAAAGAGTTTGACAGTGTTGTCAGTGCATAAAATGTTTAGTGAAAACAAAAGAAAACATTAAATGATATTTGTTGTAAGGTTTAATTTGAGGCTGAAATGGACCATCAAGTACCCCAGTGTTAATAAATTCCCCAGAAGCAATGTTCACTCTTACAGCTGCATGTAACACAAAGAAGCTATACAGCATGGCTAAAATGAGCTACAGCTACAACTGTCATGGAATGAATAAACGCTTCAATATATTTATTAAGGTGGATAAACTCTGCAATAACAGCCTTTTTTACTTTTTCTCCTGTTGGATGGAATAGAAAACCAGTAGCACTGGGCTTAACCGCGTTTCACTTTGCATAATCGTTCCCAAGGTTGCCGTTTTTTACTTCTAGGCATTCTGAGCCAATATAATTCAATTTTTGTGGCAAGGGCAAATTTTTGCAGCTCGGCTTTTGCTTCTAAACTAAGATGTAGTTTGGGTGAATGAGGTTTGTCTCGCCGCCACCACTGCTATATAGTCAAAGCGATATTCAGATTCACTTTCCTTCAACAACAACGCTGCTTCTCATCACACAAACAGTCAACATGCAAAGTTATGAGAAATACAACTTTCTCTGTTGCACTATGAAATATTTACCTAGCAACAAGGTGAACATACATAATCCTGAGCAACAAAGTTTCATTACACCTAAGTCAACATATTACTATGCACAAAGCTACATACTGGATGGTTTGATGGTAATGTGACTGTTTACTACATAGGAACAGATGACACCAACTAAATAGAGTCAAAGTCATTTACAGTTAGTTAAAATTCCCTGCTGAGAGGCCCTGTTAAATGTTTCTTCCACAGACTTTGCTGGGAAATATTTGCAATGGTTTCCATCCAAATGTGGGTCACTCAGTTCTGCATTCACGGCACAGGTGAGCTGGACCAGGTTTGTTTGGCTTTGGTCGTTGGCTGTCCTTTCCTTTCCACAGGACTGGGAAAGCAGCACCACAAACAGCTTGAGACAACAAGAGATGCTTTTGTCCAGCGTACCACAGCGAAATGACACAGCTAATCTACCTGCTGCCAATGTTGTCCAGGTCTCCTCGGACTGTCCCTAGAGGCCACAAGACCTGCTGCAGGCCAGTCAAAGACAGGCAGGAGAGTGAGAGCCCTCAGGAGAATAGGTAACACTGACAGCCAGTCATTCTGCAGTAGCATGCAGATGAAAACAACCTCTTTCACATGCCATGTTTTTTGGCTCCCAAGCCTATAATCATGCATGATTAGCTTAAGAACTCAATTCCGAGCTGGGTCTATTTCTTATTCCTGTCACACTGTCAGAAAATATATTTACCTACCATTTTCCCAACTGTCTCAAGACATGAAGGAGGCTTGAATGATCCATGGAAATTACGTTGGTGTGTGATATTTATTTTAAATATTAAAAACTACCTTTCAAACTGTGACATTTAGAAATGGAGAACTGTTATGATCAATTTTAAATTGGGATCAAATTGTTGAGGTTAAAGCATTTGAATGTGGCGTTACATCAGAAGGGTTCATTCTTATTTTATAATTTGCTCAATTTGTCAAAAATAGTTTTGCTAAACAATGCAATGTCATCCAGGTGATTCATTACATCCTTCTCTCCAACCTTTTGATCTTCCAACATTTAGAAGATGTTATTGATCAGGTTGATCAGGATCAGCTGGTGATCAGAATCAGTCGGTATTCCACTTTACCAGCAAGTGATTGGTGATCAGCCAGCCAGAAATAAAAAGAACATTTTCAATTTTTTTTCCTATATATCACTTGTAAGTTGTATCATGTCACAGTAAGTACAACACTCTTCAGTGTGGAAGTTGTTACTGAAGAAAGAAGAGGTCAGAATTACATCAAAGGAAGAGTAAAAGCTGATACAAGCATGTAGAAAGGAATCAGAGTCCTATAAAGGCATGTCAGCAACTCATTGAGGCTGCCGCTGGATTGAAACAGGAAAACAGATTAAATTAGAATCAAGCCTGAACCTACTACAATAAGGTTCACAGTTCAGTCTAATTTCATCTGTGATGAAAAATGTAAGGTTCTGTGTAAAACTCGACACTCTCGCTCCCACGGGGAATGATGTGTCTCCTGGATCGAGACACAGTGGTCAATGATTACAAACTGATTCCATAAGACTAAATTAGCAGTTCAATTAACTTAAGGGACCTGCTAATAACAACATGAGATGGCAAACCAAACTTTTTTCTTAGCTATCAAAAACGTTCAGGTACAGTTGGTTTTAAAAGGAATAAATTAGATATCATTTTAGTTATGTTTGAAACATCTGTTAACTTGGAGGAATTCACCTTGTTTGTAGATGTCTAGTGAGGCAGGTCTGTGTCCCGGTCCTTTTTTCAGAAAAATAAGATTTTATAAAGAACAAAAGAAGTTAACAAATTTGCTTATTCTGACTGGGTAATATATTTCCCCCAGAGTGTGAAAAAGCTTCCTACTACAATTGACTAGAATTAAAATAACACATTACTTAAAGTTTGTATTTTTGTCCCAATTTTGGCTTATTTAAACTTTGTAATTTTTTTATGACTATTTGCAATGAATTTTTCAAACAAAGTAAAATTTTGCTAGTTCAGGTCAGCTTGTTTTCTGCTATTGACAGCGGTCGCCATGAGGTCGTCTTGCTGCACCTTGCCATTATTCTTCACGTGAAAAATATCCAGTTAAGTCTTTTCTCTCTGTGCCCATCAGAACACTAAAACTGCTAAATATATTGTTTATTTGTATTTTTAAGGTAAAAAAAGAAAAGAGAAAAAGAAAACCGGTGTAGCGTGAAACTCTAAAGGTGTCACTCTTTAAAACATGTGAAATATATTCCTGGATTCAATCACCTTTCTAAAGCATATGCTTATTATAAAAACCCAAAATTGAATAAGACAGCCATACACAGCTGCTGGTCTAATTTGCTTTAAGCATGTACAAATAGGACGGCCCACAGTGACCATAAAAGTAGAGTGGAGGTTTTGCTCAACGCGGCACTTTTGTCTAACCAGAGGCAGAGGGACGCCTTCCAACCAACAAACAGATCACAAAAGGAAAAAGTAGCAAAAACACACACAGGGACTCTCACATGATGGTTAGAAATACAGCAAAATAACTCAAGAGGCTCACAGATCTCTTTTGCAGCACTGTTAACTAATAAAAAAAAATTCTATATGTGTTAAAAATGTTCAATTGAGCTTTGTTGACGTTTTAGGAGAGTGTCATCTACACATATCAGTAAACTCAAAAGTATTCATACTGCCTAAACTTTTTCACATTCAATTTAATCCAAATTACAGCTGCAAATATAAGTATATTACATTTGTCATTAGTTGGTCACAGAACAGGACAGTGAAGGACAGTGAAACCCGATTTTCAAATCGTGGTGTGCATTTGGATTCAGCCCTTTCAGTCAATCCTTTGTAGAACTGCATTTTGATGCAGTTACTACCACATGTCTGCTGGGATGTACATCTGCAAGCTTTGCAAGTTTAGCAAAATTGCATCCATTGGTCTTTGTAGAATAAACTATGCTTAGGCAACTTGACTGGAGAGTCAGAGAATTACATAAAGCCTGCTGCACATTTTTCACTTAATCTTACATTTGAATTTGGGGTCAATCTAACTCTGTGTTTCACAGTGAGATGGTGTCTTCAGGGTGTTGTGCTTAATTTTGGTCTAATTTGATCTGAGCGCGTTCTTCCACATGTTTGTTCTATCCCACTTGACACATTTTGAACTGCATTTCTTAATAACTACAGTTTTCTTGCTACTTGTCATACTGCATTACTCTGTGTTAGTTTACCACATAAAATATTATATCACAAAATTGAAAAGTTCATAAAGTGATGAATACTTTTGCTGCACACTGCAAAAGCCTATATTTTTAGTCTTTTGTAATAAATATTTTCTGAGCCCCTATGGATATATTTTTACTACTTTTTTAGAGTTGTTTCTCAGCTTAAAGCTGGCACCAATGTACCTCCTGTGTGTTGTCTATACAATTTATTGCACCATGAAAAGTTTTATTTGCTCTTGAACCATTTGCTCTGGAAACCCCCTGTGGATACGATGTGCTTTGTACATTTATATAAGTACACACTATGTTCCTGCACATTAATAGACACGCAAGGAAATATGCAAAACACACACAATCACCCACACAGCTGGATGTATATCTGGGATTTCCCTTTAGATACTGGAAAAATAACCAACTTCAAACAGTAAACTAGGTGCTAATGAACTGGATCCTGACAGGGTTTACTTTCCGCTAGCAGAGACCCAACCCACAATGGATCTATTCACGGTATCTCAGCCATGGAAAGTGTTGGTAAAGTAATCTCGCTAGAGTTTATGTGACCTTTTCTAACTCTCAGTACAGTTTTCTGTCCTCATGCCTTTGAGGTCGGGCCAAAAACAACACCGAACTGCATCAGCTGATACAAGCAAAGGCTACCTATTTTGTATACCAAAATGGCACCCATTCATAACTAGTTTGCAGATTGATGCGGGGAGGAAAGGAGCACAACGCCCTGCTTCCTGCTACGCCGCACCTGTGATTTCAGTCACGGTTACTCCAAGGTTACTTGTTTCTTCCAGGAAAGGCCATAGCTGGGGGGCATCTGACTGCTTTCGTGACCGTTCAGGAATCGTCGAAGAAGAACATGCAACAAAAGGAGACAATTTATAGGAAACAAAGCATGAATTGTTCTCCACAAAGCTACGAAAAAAAATAATCACAGTGCTACATATGGCTTTATTCAACAAGTCTTCAGATCGGAAATGTCAGCAGCTGCTTCAAACTTTCAGGCACACCTGCTGAAACTAAACAAAGAAGGATAGACAGAGCTTTTGGCTATAAAGGACACTGAAATTATCAGCTGTCATCCCTTTATGTCTTTGTCTTAGTGTCTGCCTGAGGAATACAATTACAATCTATCCATAAGTCTCTGTTCATTCACATATTTTTTATGCTTTCGGCAGCAAAACATAAACAATAAGAAATACAGTCAGTGACAGGTAAAGCTATACTCTGCTATGAAAGCTGTTTTACAGTAGCCACTTTTCAGAAAGAAGCACAATATTTAAATACCTGATACCCTGTTCCAAACCACACTTCAGAAAAAAAGCCTCTCTTTTAAATGTGAGGGTCACACTGCACCGACAACCTGTATTTATGGCTATCTGACCTGACACCATGAAAAAGTTTTATTTCTATCTGATGTTCCAAAGCAAAGATAAGGCCAACATGGGGGGGGAAAGTAACATTTGATGAAAAAAACCAAGATAAATGCACAAACTTGTATGTTTTAGCTTCACTTTTTAAATCTATTGAGAATATGGTGGCTTTTGGCTTCGTATGTGAACACATGCTCGTTTCCATAATGAATAAAATAGCCTTTCTCCAGAGACAGTCCTTCGTCACAGTCCGTCTGAGGAGAAGTATGAAGTCAGGCAAATACTAGCACTATTATAAACTTGATTGATGGAGCCTGTTTCTTTATTTTGTGTAGAACACATCTAGAAGTCTGCAGCATAAGAATAAAACAATTTTCTTGAAAGAAAAGTAGGAAACAGACATGCAATGGTTTTTACAGCTTCAAAGAACGAAACTGAATCCGACCTGTAACGCTTTCCAGCCCATAAGGCAGTGTAGCTTTGTTTCCCCAGAGCCCTGTGCTGTCAAGAGCCGCACTTCAAATTCTGCTTCTCATGGTTTCTGACCCCCTCAGCCTTCCATCCCCCTGGACAGAACCTGTGAGAGTATTTTGGACTGTATCCAAGGAGATGCAGGAATTGACGTGAACCGAATATGAAAGGTCAAGGTGAGGGGTGCACAGTAACGCTATGAAAACTACACCTTTGGACAATATTTACCCCTAAAATCCACATTATGTTTGATAGAGAGCCCTACATTCGCCTGTCAAATAGAACAGCGAGGTAAGGTGGGGGGTTTTTAATATATTTATTTCTCTGTTTCATCCATCCCACCTATCCACTATGTGCCTAAAAGAATAAATCCCCCCACCAACACCCCCAATTCACCTAACCCCCAAAGCGAAGGGCTCTGCAGCATGAATGGAGCATTGTGATGCTTCTCCGTCATGGCAGTGAATGTTTTCACTTCCATTTGATCCGTCGGCAAGGCTGCTAATTGGGTAAGCGTGTTCCCAGGTCACCGGGAGGTTTCTCTTTCAGAGCGCCAGCGAAGGCTTCTACAGATGTTGTTTCCCACCCGCTTCCAAGTGGGTTCAGACCAGCTTCAGGTAGTAGATGTAATTTATTGTGTCTGAAACCACACTCCAAAAGTTTTCCTTTCCTCGCTCTCCATCATCCCAAAGAGTGCAGTTTATCATTCTCCCAGGCACTGAAATAATGTTCGCTATTGTCCTTATTCTTGTGCTTGAACTCTGTGTACCAAGTTGCCAGCTGAATCCCTGGTGGGATGATGATGTGGACGTACTCTCCAGATCTTAAGGGCCCAAATTACACTATTTTCCATGTGCTGTTACATCAGTGTCAAGGTTTATGAGGTTCAGGGTTTATTTATTTGTTTTGTCATGGAATTTAAATTTCCTCTCTTACGCAAGCACTCAAGACAACCGTATGTGCCAGCACTAAACACAGCAAAGAGCAGAAAGCTCAGCAGACACATTCACAGGCACGTTTGCTACTCCTGTTCTGTAGGGTGTGGTCAAAATGGTCAAATTGTCAGAGAAAGTGTCCTTGAACTTGAATGTCTCTGGTGAAGTTTGTGTGTTAGCAAGCAACCACGAAGCTATGGTGTCCTTGAATACTCACCAGTTCTAGGAGTTGTTGTTTCTTTCCCAGCACCGGCACTCAAGATTGTCCTTCCTGTACAAGAAATATAAAGACAAGTTCATTCAATCTTAAAAAAAAAAAAAAATTACAAAAATGCTTATTGAGACGCTTGACTACTCTGAAAATCATAATCAAGATGATTAATATGTTTGTGTACATATAACCGATTGTTTTTTGTATTTTAATGCAAAGATTTTTATAGGAAGAAACAAGATTATCTTTATGCAGACAGACAGATGAATAAAAACTGTTGATCCATCTCAAAGCAACAACAGTGAATTGAAGGAAGCTGCAGGGTTGCCCTGTTTCTATTGGAAAACAAGAAAGCTTCCACTAAAAAGCTGATACTTGGGTCCCTTCAGTGACTTTTGTATGATCTAATGACGCCACCATGTGGTTGAGAAATGAAAACATTCACAATTTTCATTCAGGTTTCTGCAAAAAAGTGGAAGAGTGCAAAATGTTTAACAGATTTATATATAAAGAGGTTTTGATTAGTGGGTTTGTATTTCGCAAGAATACAAACACATTTTTGTATTCCAGAATTTTTATAATAATCAGCTGCACTAGTGGGAATATTATAACAGTTTAAACTCCTGTTTACCATTACTATGCATCATATTCAATGCAACAACGTGAAACATTGTTTTAAAATGCAGACCCAGTGAGGTAAATATAGCAAAATAAGTTATATGCAAGTAAACGCAGATTGTGGAACTTAAGCCAATAATGCATGAGTTGGTTACATGATGTTGGCTACACAAAGACTTAGGTGCGTCTAAATATATCCAAATTATTTAAATGTTAAATTTTCTGGTACACACAATGTAATGTCTTTTGATACAGTGATATATTTTAACCATTTATTTCTACTGAAACTGATAATAATAGCTTATAACTAATTATAACCCAAGTTGAGTTTGTCAAAAAAAAAAAAAAGATACAAACAGATTATTACACAAAGCCAATGCAAACATATTTTGTTACAGGAATGTTGTGCTTGTGTTATGAAATAAAAATAAAAAAACTCGAGTCTGTAATCAACGAAATTTGCAGACATAAAACGCTTGAAACAAATCAATCTGCATGTCATGAATCTGTGTAAGACATATTCATTTAAGTCATTTAGTTCCTGAAATTAACAACCTTTTTGATTATTTTCTCACTCTCTGAGGAGTAGAAATTTCACTAGAGTGCATTCCCAACTCTGATATTCCCAACTTAAGCCAGAAGGTGGCCCCCTCATCACATGTATTAACATAAAAAGAAATTACTACAAAATCGCAACAAAAACAATATATGACTGGCTAATTATCTGTGGGAAAACAAATATAATCAATGCAACTTAAATGTTTTTGTTTGTAAACAATATGGAAAGGATTAACTGAAGTGATTTATGGGATTTATCCATTGAAGAAGGTGTGGGCATTTAGAAGGTGGGCTGACTTGACTGAAGTGAAACATTACTCATCCTATTGTTGGCTTTTCTCTTTCAACAACAGTAAGACTTTTCAACCTTTCAGTTCCTCCATTTTAAAGGGGTGAATTCTAGTTCCTCTGTGTTTTCTACACACCAAAGAGAAAACCATTCAAGTTCAAAGAAAACACATTTTTAAATACATAGCAAATTTATGCTGCCATTTAGTCATGTTCAGTTCATACAAATTACTATATGCTTCTTCTTCACTAATGGTGTGTGTGTCGTCTTTTTTTACTAGATAAGATCCCAGTGATTGAGCTATTACATTACAAAGGCATAACTTTTTAAAAAGAAAAAGATTCACCACACCAATCATTTTAAAATGATATCCAAACAGTTAGAATTTGAAGTCTAAATCAGATCTAAATCAAATCTAAATTTTAGTTTTAAAAATAAATACAATATATAAAATGCACTGCAAGGAAGACAGTGTTTGAGTTACAACACTTACACAAAAGCTGCTTTGGTATTTATCGAGTGCAAAAACTGAATCTTTGGGACAAGATGGTAGTTTAGCCAAACATTAGGTCCTAAACTGGGACCCAGTTAGGCTGAAATAGGAAATATAAGAAACCAACACAAAGAGCACAATAACATGTACAGGTTTGATAATGACAAAATAAATAAAGTAAAAGAACTTTATTCTTTTACTTTATTTTAAAGTACTAAATTGTCTGTTATACTTTTGGATACCTGCTAAATGAGCACTTGGTGTTCCTGGGTTGTGCAAAGTATTGTCTCCTTTGTCTTTAACAGTACACAAATGTGCTATTTCACAGTTTTTCAAAGTATCTGGAATATTTTATCATCTCCAGTTCAGAAAGTTAGCCAAATCTGAACTGGATACATACAAACCCAATCGAAATTCTGAAAAAGCTCAAGATTTGTGAAAACTGCTTTGAGTGAACCGTGCTGCATAATTTCTTCGACCACGATTACTTTAGACAACCTTGTAGGTTGCTTTGCAACTCTGACAAAGTGAACTGAACCAATTTAATAGGTAACTCAGTCTTCCGCCTCTATAAATACTCCTTATGTCCCTCACTTTCAATAAAAATGCCAGCATGCACAACTTGCTGCTTTACAAACTCCTCATTAAAGATGCCACTGACTTTCTGCTGACCATCTGTAAGTTCACAAGTTTCACCCATGGTGGGGTAACATGAAGCTTCTCGATTTTTTAAAATTTGTATTATTTGGTAAAAGTCATGTGCTAATAGACTCATATGTTTCAAACGCATTGCTCAGTGAGGGCGTCACTTTATTACTGTACTGCACTGCAACTTTTTGAAGTCATGATTTTCTCGTTTATTGATATCGATATGTAAGGGCTATTTCTAAAAACCCCACACATAATTAATGACAGTATGAGCAGTTAATTAGAATAATACGCTTCCTTTCTACATATTCTCGCCTTCATTTGGCAATTTTCCTGACTTCATTTAACGTACAGAAACTTCTTAGGCCCTTATGACGTCACTTGTAAGTAAACTCACCTTTGCGACTCGTTACTCGTGTCGATAACGTGTCTATTCGGTCACTTCCTCCTACGTTTCCACCTCCTCTCCCTCTCCTACCTGTCTCAACTGGGCGTGTTTTTCTTCTTCTTCTTTTCTTCTTCTTTTTTTTTTTACTTCCGAGGGACCTTTATTCCCCAATTCATTTCGCTTGAAAAGAAATATTCTAAGAATAGTTCGCCGGCCGACAACTTAAAGCTGAGGTAAGAGCGCTTTCATACTCGACGTGACCGCGGTGGGGAATCACGTCCCCCCAGTTGTGTGGGGCAGTTAAACGCGCAGCTGCGTTTGGTTGGAGCTGGGAATCCCTCCGCACCTGAAGCTACCAGCCCAGCTTCGGTGTCGGGAGTCGGTGTTGGGCCAACAGAGGAGGAAGCGCATGAAGCGTCACGTATTGATGGGTTTTAATGAAGACAATAATAATAATAATGATAATACAGACCTTTGGGCAATTAAATAACCTAGAAACAACATAATATGTCGGAGAAAACATAAAACACAGAAACCCTTCAGCTGTGAGTTTGACAATGTCTGTGATTTTAACTAAAATGAGCAGGTTCATCAGACTGTGATTTACAAATGTCTGCTGGAGCTCAAACATTTCTGTCTGGGGCTTCAGATTCTGTTTTTGGAAAATGCAAAACTGTTCATGTGTAGTTTTAGTGTCATAGATCAGCTGTAAAAGAAGGTTTTATGTGTAATTCTACTTGTGTGTCATGCTTTTGTACAAAAACATCTGGATAAGTTGGTATTGGAGACATTTCCAAGTAGGAAATCCGTAATGTTCTTTTTTTTCTTCTTCTTCTCTTTTCCTGTTGCTAGTGCAATATTCTGTGTCCCAATTCATCATGCTCTAACACATCTCAACAAGCCTTCCCTCAGCAGGCTCACACTTTAAAACTGTACCCTGCAGCAGCACAAAGAGAATAGAGTGTGTTCATTAAATCAAGCCTCTTTGCAGTACAGCTCCACACAGCACTCTCTTTCAGTGAGCTGTGTGGGACAAGACGGAAACAAGGATGATCACATTGCTCTAGGTTGGGTTGTGTGAGTCTCTCTCTGTGTGTGTGTTTACTCACAGTGTTTCAGACTTCTGATTAACAAAGCCTGGTGCAGTGTGGGCTGATTGTTGTTTTCTACATTCCCTCTTGCACCAGATTCGTGTCCCTGCTCGTCACATTCCACAGCCATAGCCCTCTGTTCTCCTCCCCCCTATTCTTCTCCCCCGACTTGCACACTTCAAGTCTTTCATTTGTTCTCTTAGTTTATATAAAATCAGTCAATTGCCCGGTAGATCTTTGCCCTTTTGGAAAGGGAGTTCTGTAGCTTCATCTCCTCTTTTTTTTGTGGTTGTACCACCCTGCTTGTATGTTACACTGCTATTAAAAATGTATTGGCTTATACTGGAGTAGACAAGGGGGCTGCAGTATCATTGCAGAGACGTTGCAGTACAGTGAGACAAAGTTGTTTCACAAGTGGCTGGATACAGACTGCATGCGTCAGTGGAAATGTTAAGGACATTTAATCCACCAGCACTGTTTTTTTTATTTTATTTATTTTAACCTAAGACTTTCCGTATTTGCTTCCATACAAAATAGCTCAAGGAAAGACACATTTTAATGATGAAAACTTGAAATCTTAGTGCTCTTTTATTTGAATAAAAAAAATTGATCAATCAGTCCCAAAGCACATCATTTTTTTTCTCTGCCTTTTCAATGTCTTTACAACAAGGCCATGATCAAAGGGTCAGCGATAGAAGAAAAACCATGGCAGCTGGCTATCCAGGTGGATCAGAAACAAGGCGACGAGTCCATGAAGTTCAAACTCAGCGTGACAGGTGACTTGCACATCGGAGGACTCATGCTTAAGCTGGTGGAAAAAATTAGTAAGTGTCTAAGATCAATAAGAAATTGAACAAGCTGTGTGAATGTTATACATATTTATATTAATACACCATTTAGAACGTAATTTGCTGCTCAAGCATGTTGTGTTGAATTTGCCTTGTGTCTGCTGCTGCTGCTACAACAGCTGTGTTTGTCAAGCCACGCCTTTGTTTGCACTGTTTCTCTACAACGCCGTGCCATTGTTCAGCCACAACGCATCGGTATGTGTAGCCTTAGGGGCCAAAGTATATTCAGAGCCTTATCTGCTTTCTTTTTGCAGTCCTCTGTAAACATAGCGGAGCTCATGAACGTAATATAAGAGGGGACTTTTTTCGTGAGGTGGTTTAAAAATCATGTGATGTGAGAAGATGACTAAACGTCACGTCATCAACAGATGGATTTAAGCCCAGTATTACAAGATGATATCAGGTAGACTCAAACCACACCACCTACACACCAGTGGGTACAAAGAGTATTTCTGCTGCTAGCAGTTTTTAAGCACAACTCCAAATAATGAGCGGGTCAGATAAAGAGCGGTAATTCATGTAAACGAGCAGGCGGGGCAAGAAGTCTCGTCTAAAGTCTGCCTCGAGTCAAGTACGGGACACACCAAGCAAGAAGGTTTTCTTTTCAGATGAGAGCAAAATGGGAACTTTTTGACATATGTGAACTGCTATGTGTGGGTAAAAACTAACACGGTACACCAATCTGAACTCCTCAACCCACACCACGGAATATTGTGGCAACATTATGGCACTGATATATGGAAGTTGATCTCTGAAGGATGACCCTATGAAGCTTAGTGGGTCATCCTGGTTGAAAACTTGTTAGAAGTTGCAACTTTTGGCAGTACAATGACCCAAAACACGCAGGAAAAGCTACAAAGGAATGGTCTCGATACAAAGTTTTTGAATGGCCCAGTCAACGCTTTGTCTTGCAACTGGAGGAGCAAAAGGTGGTACTACAAAATACTCATTTAGGAAATAAGGAAACAATGTGTCCCTTTATTCCATCTTGACAAATATGCACTACTTTGGAAATGTTCTAACACATAAAATCCAATTAAGGTGCATTGAAGTTAGTAATGTGACAAAATGGAAAGGTTTCACAGTAATTTGGTAAGGAATTGTTTAAGTTATGCCTGGTCCAGATTTCACTGAGCTAATAAATAATTTGACCTACTAAGCTAAAGTATTTAGGATTTTATCTCTTGTTATTCTGCAAATAAAAGTTGCATAATAGTGAGATTAAATCTAGATTATGCGTTTGCCTACAGAGACTCAGCAGGACTGGTCCGATCATGCGCTGTGGTGGGAACAGAGGAAATGCTGGCTGCTCAAAACTCACTGGACATTGGACAAATGTGGGATCCAGGTAAACCGAATGACATAGCAATTCACAGTTCTTGCGGTTTCCCTGAAGTGTGTGCAAGCAGTCAGAGAGCTATCTCCTTGGGAATGTCTCTTTAGTCAAAGCATAATAGATAAATCCTGTGTGTGCTTGCAGGCTTGAAATGTGTGGAGTTGTTAGTTATAGCTGAGCTTGGAGGCTACTAAGCAAAAATCATATCCACCTTTGAATAGTGATACCTCATTTATAACTGTTTAGTGGAGCAAGAACCATCTCATGTTGACATTTATGTCCCAGTTGTTTAATAGCACACAACAATGAAAAATGAATTGTTTACCATGGCAAACACATATATGTCAAATTATTCCAAAATTAAATTCAATAAATATGTTTGAGAAAAGTTTATTTTGTTTTTTCATCTAAACTATGTGCAACTTTTGTCCACAGGCTGATGCCTTTCTGCGCTACACTCCCCAGCACAAACCACTGCTGCTGCAGCTGCCCAATATGAAAACCATCAGAATGACAGTCTGCTTCTCCAGTATGGTGTTCAAGGCAGTGGAGGAAATCTGCAGAATTCTCAGTTAGTTTATATGGTTCCTGAACATGGGACTTTTCTGTCCAACGAGAAAAAAATAAATAAAATTAGGACATCTTCTACTTTGCATATTCTGCTTGATCGCTCACAACTTTTCTTCTTTGCTCGTTTGTAGATATCAGAAGATCAGAGGAACTCTCTCTGCTGAAGCCTCCTGAGGATTGGAGCAAGAAGAAAAAGAAGAAAGACAAGAACTCTCCTCAGGAGGACCTCTGGGACATATGGGATGCACTTAACGTAGGACAGGGAGGAACAGGTACTTCAGGTTTGGTTCTGGTCAGGTTCAACAGGATAGCAATTAGATATAAAAGTGGTGTGAAACAATGTGAGAGCATTTATGTCTAAAGGATAGTTATCTTTTCTTTCAAAACAGTGCAATAAATATATATTTAAATCCAGTAAATTTGTAAAAGATTGACTAAATGTGACCAAGACATGGTCATCAACCTAAACTGATAGACAAAGCAGAGAGAACAATAGTCAGAGAAGCAAGCAGGAGGTCCTCTGGTTAATCTGGAGGAGCTTGAGTTGGAGAATCATTCGACGTGAAAGCTATTAACTATGTACACTTCAACTCTAGTCTTATTGGAAGAGACCAAAACTGAATATGCAGAATGCTTTGTAAGGAGGGATCCCCACACTGCACCCTAAACAAACTGAACCCACCTTGAAACATGGTGGTGGCAGCATTATGACGTGGGGATGCTTTTGTTTAGCGTGAACAGGTAAGATAGTTAGAGCTGGCGTGATGACGACCGAATTTAAAACTTCAGATATAAAGGAAGCAGCTGTTGGGCATTTGGATGCTGCTGCCTTTATATTGTCGTCATGCTTTGAACTGTTAATGTCAGTGTCACATTTTCATTCAGAATTTTGTTTTCTGTATTCATTTCTGCTAGCATACACCAGACAGCTAATCTAGATTCCTTTGAATATAAGTTAATAGGAAGTTAAGTTAAATCTTACTTTATTTCCCAAAATCTCACTGCGATTTTCAATAAATTAGGCCCTATGTACAATAAGACGATGACAGCAACCTATGACCCAGAGAACGGGATGCCCGTGTCTGCCACCAGCCTATGGTTTGGAGAAAACCCCTTAGCTGAGTCGCAGCCAAACCTACCGCCTGCAGAGCTGGCCAAGATATACAAGCCGCTGTCGCTTGTGGACAAAGCAGAGAACAACGGAGGGTAAGATCAGAAACCTTTCTGCTCGATTTATTTGTATTTTTATCCCCTCATCATCTAACTGCTTGTTGCGATCGACAGGTGGCTCGACTCGTCTCGCTCACTCATGGAGCAGGACATTCAGGATGATGACAAGCTGTTACTTCGCTTCAAGTACAATGTCTTCTTTGACCTCAACCCTAAAGTAAGATGTTGTTTTCCACTGGGGGGAGAAAAAAACCCCTGTGCATTTTATGTAGGAAATTCCCTGAAACAAAGACTGAAATGTGTAAACGCAAGGTTGTTTGTTTGAATTTCAGTATGATGCTGTCAGGATAACCCAGCTGTACGAACAGGCCCGGTGGGCCATCATGCTGGAGGAGATAGACTGCACCGACGAGGAAATGCTGATGTTTGCTTCTTTACAGGTGAACCTGGTGTCTACACTGTAATTGCACAAGTTGATAAAATAGCTGAAGAATGTTGGTGTTTTCATTTTGTGATGTAGTTCATTGCAAATTGCAAATAAATACTATTATAAGAATATAAACATTCACTTTATAATTTAACAAATATGAAAAAAGTACAACTTGTATTCCAATTTTCTGCATATTTCTTGATTTAGATGTAATTTCTTTCTTAACACCTTTCACCGTTAATGCTCTGCTATAAAAGGTACTTCTCTTTTTATTTTCTAACAAATCACCCATTTGTCTTTCAAAATAACCATCTTGTGTACAGTGCCTTGCAGATGTACTAAAACTTGTCGATCGCAGTATTTTTATGGGAGATTTACTATATTAAACAGAAGTCGAATCCATGTTCAAATGAGCTGACAAAAGCAATTGATTACAGTGGATCAAACTTAATTTTTGCTCTTTGTTAAAAAAATTAATGCATACTTTTCATTCTACGGCACAATAATTCACCTATTTGTGCTGTTTTATCAGAATGTGATTGTAACATAAAAAAAATGGCATAAAGTTCAAGGGTATGAATACTTTTAAAGGGGAATTGTATGAATTCCTTGTTGGCCTTTGATAACCAACATGATACAAATCGAAAATATCTGATATTGAAAAACACAAATTTTGTGGTCTGGATGGCTTTTTTTCATCCTGGGCTAAATAAGAAAATACAACAGTTAGATCCATAGAAACTCTTGCACAACTCAGACAAATTTGTTAAAAAGGTCAGAATCTGGGTTATTAAGATGTAAATGTACGACAGAAAATTACACAGCATGACCTATTAACATGAAATTTACACAGCAGGGGTTGCTTTTAAACTTGCACTGGAAATAAATGATTACAACTCTGTTTCATGCCAGTTTATCAATATGCATGATTGTTCCTCAGGGCTGCAGCAAATTTGACTAAATTGGGAGTGCATTGTTTTTATGCCTGGAAGCGCAAAATGAAGGGTACTGAGTTTGGTATGTAAATACGTGAGTAGACCTGTTTGGACGTGTGTTAAATCACACTGTGTGGGAAGACAAGACAAAGGGAGAGACCTGAATGCAGACATGAAAAGGAGTACCTTAAGCTTGTACATTAATCATTTTTGCTCTTCCACAAAAAGTGCTGAAAGAATCTGATAATTACCAAAAGTTCAAAATCTAATCTACACTGTAAACAAATCTCAGTCGTCATCAACTCTTTTTGCCATGGCAAAAATGAAGAAAACAGTAAATCTAATAGAGGGTGTCTTGACCTACACACTACTGCAAAGGCTGACATGGACAAACAGTTCTCTGACTCATGCCAGTCTTTTTTAATTACTACATTACAGAAATGACATGACAGAAACTCCTTGGGATTTTGTGAGAGAACTCTTCCATTTCTCTAATAAAAAGAAAATGTCTTTCTCAGTATCACATTTGCAAACTGACCATGTCAACTGAGCCGCTGGACAACTCCAGCGAGCCAGAAATCGATGAAGTGGAGGCTGCCCTGTCTAACCTGGAGGTGACCCTTGAAGGTGGACACACAGACCGAATTCTGGTAAATATGTGTTTGTGAACCGTCAACCACTGTTGTGAAAGCCAAGTAAAAAAGAATTCGTCTTATTTTAGTCTTTAGTTCCAGCAGAACATTTGGTTTCAAATTGCTACTGTTAGGTATGACTTTACCAATTTGTTCCAAGATGATGTAAAACAGTGACTGAATTTTGTTTTTCTTGCCTCCAGGAGGACATTACCGACATTCCAAAGCTGGCAGACACCCTGCGGCTTTTCAGGTAAAAAAATGTCCTACAAGCATCATTACTGAGGCGTGTCGCTACCATATTTAGCTTGGTTTGTGTTTAGACATTTGTAGGGGAAGTACAGCTGGTCATATTTATTTGCTTAAAAGGTTGTTGTCAAAAGATTCTATCGTTCACATGCATGTCTTGGTTTGTTTTAACAAATTAAGCAGCTTTAAGGGCGTTTGGGTAAATGTTCTGTAGGAGCAGTTGGTATTTATTAAACAAATATTTCAATCTTATCAGCTGTTCATGTTGTTTGGGTTCTACTGGTGTGTGTGTCTGTCAAAACAGGCCCAAAAGATTGACCCTGCGACCATACAAAGAGTATTGGTTTGTGTTCAAGGACACCACTATCTCCTATTTTAAGAGCAAGGAAGCCTCCAGTGGAGAACCAATCGAGCAGTTGCAACTTCGAGGTCAGTGGTTAAAAGAATTAGAAACTAGCGTATTAGCACTTTGAATTTGAATTTATGCCATTGATGTGCAGGATCACAGAAACTGGAAAGGTCCCAGATCTTTCTCTTTATTCGACAGTTTCTGGTAACGTATTCATACCATTAGACATTACAACAGCAGATGTCAATGTGTGCATCTTTTGAGAGAGACCAACACAAAGGGAAGCATGATTGTGAAGTGTAGGAAAAAATATACTAAATTTTTAAAAAACTTTTTCAAACAGTCTGTAGTGAACCCATTTAACTCTAAAAAGAATCCAGTGAAATCATTTTCTAATTATTGAGTAGAGGCCACCTTCGTGAATTTTTATATCTGCTGTTTGAAAGATTCAGATGTTCGATAACATCAGTAAACGAACAGCATTATGAACACCGCAGAAAACATGAGAAAAATCAGGCATAAAGCAGCATTAGATTGAAAACACAACTGCCAAGAATTGGTTGTATATTTAAATTAAAGGCAAGAAGAGCTTTAATCAGAGAATCAGCCATTAGGCTTGGTGTAACTCTGGATGTAATGCAGAGATTCACAGCTTAAAATGGAAAGTTTGTCACCAGAACAACTATTAGGCATTACTTTTATTCGTTGCTGTATTACATTTCTTCAACTTGAATTCACAGGATGTGAGGTGGTCCCAGATGTCAATGTCACAGAGAAAAAGTTCGGCATCAAACTCCTGCTTCCAGTCGCCGACGGGATGAATGAAGTGTATATCCGATGCGATAATGTAAAAGCCCACCTGCTTCCCTAAGAGTTTTACTGTATCTATTTTAAATGAGGACCTCACGTAAGTATGTCTTTTTGAATCTTCTTCTCTCCTGTGTAGGAAACACAGTATGCTAAGTGGAAAGCTGCATGTATCCTCGCCTCTAAAGGCAAAACAATGGCATACAGCTCCTACAAGACAGAAGTGAAAAACATCATGTCGTTTTTGCAAATGAAGAGCTTGGCGCCCCCTCCTGGTCAGGCGGCTCCAGACCTTGATGCCATGGAAATGAATGCAGAATGTTTTGTTTCCCCTCGCTATTCCAAGAAGCACAAGACCAAGCAGGTTTGCTTGACAGATGCCTCAAATTCATCTGATTTTACTAGCAGCTATGCTAAATTTTATTGCTAAATCTGCTTTGCATGGCCGCGTCAAGCTGACAGCGCGGATCCTGGAGGCCCAACAGAACATAGAAAAGCTGTCCTTGATAGAGGCCAAGTTGCGCTTTATCCAGGCCTGGCAGTCTCTTCCAGAATTTGGCATCAACTACTACATTGTCAGGTAGTGTGCAAATATTTTTGTTTTGCAACAACTACGCAACTGGGGTCATGTTTTGTTTAAACCATATATTTTGAATATTATATTTACTTGCATTTCAGATTCAAAGGTAGCAAGAAGGATGAAATTCTGGGGATTTCATATAACCGCATGATTCGTATTGACATGTCCTCTGGCATGCCTGTCACCACATGGAGGTTTGCCAACATGAAGCAATGGAACGTCAACTGGGAAATAAGACAAGTGAGACTTCATTCCTCATGAGGAATGTAAACGTTTTGGAGTGTTTACTCCCACACAACACTGCTTCATGAGATGAAAATAAATCAGTAATATGTTGCATGTAATTTCAGGTGACCATAGAATTTGACCAGAACGTGATAATAGCCTTCTGCTGTGTGAGCTGCGACTGCAAGGTGGTCCACGAGTTCATTGGTGGTTATATCTTCCTCTCCACCCGATCAAAAGACCAGAATGAAACACTAGATGAAGAATTGTTCCTTAAACTTACTGGAGGCCAAGAATAACCTAAGAGATACATGATTGTCCGTTTCGTACTGACGTTCTTGTTCATATTAGCATGAAACTACCACTACAATATTAACTATAAGCCTCGAACAAACTGCTGCAAAAAAACATCACAGACACATATTGTCCTTCACAGAACCATTTAATGGGTTTTACCACTTTTTTTGTCATTTATGCACGAAATAATGTTGTCAATGTAATTATGTTTGGATTGTCTTTCTAAAACGAGTGGATGAGCTGATGCGTGAGAAGCTAGCTCTTTTTTAATGTCAAATATTTCTTAAAGTGACAAAATTTGAAAACATCGCAAAGCCTTAAATTCAATTATGTTCCATTCTTCTTCAAAATGTGTTTATTTTCTTTTGTTCATCAGTTTTGTTGAGCTGTGTTTACAATGATGAAATATAAAATGTCTTCTACTACGTACTTTGAAGCAGATAATTTGTCTTATTACACTACTGAGTTGAAACAAGATATTGACATACACTATGTTCAGTCCCTGACATAAAACCATAATACACTTCTGATTTAGGTGAATTAGGATTATTACAATTATATTTGATAGTTGAAAGAGTATGATACTAACTAACAGTAGGACTTGGATGAAATGTTTTGGGTAACAAAATATAATAAATATATAATTGTTTTATTTATTCATATCAGCATAAAGCCAAATGCATCTCCAACTGCAGTCTATTAGAGAAATATTATACAAATTTAATGTCAGGAAATAAATGCGTAAAAACTTTGAAATTATATATTTACAAATTAATAAATGCCCTCAAAATAATATAGTTTTAATTTGTTTATTTTATTTGTCTGTTGGACATCAACAGAAATTAGCATATATTTAACTAATGTCTCTTGCATATTTAAATATTACAGTTGGAAAAATTACACATAAAAAAATTATTTCTCCCAGAGGAAAAGTTATTTCTTATTTATTTATTTTCTGTTCAGTTGTAGCTGCAGTGCTCTTTTTTTCTTCTTCTTCCCTTAAGCTCGCGCCTTGCGCCTATTGGTCAGAAATATGATTGACGTTCACTCGGCCAATCAGTGGCACCTATTCCGAAACGTCATTCCGCTTTTGTTGAACACGTCATTGGAAGCTAGGGAAGTGAAAGCTAACACGTGTGAACGTCAATTTAAGACATTTTTGTTTACAGCTCAGGGTAATTCAGTGCCTTTTTATGCCTCCACTTGTTTAGAGCGCTTTTAAAGATTACGCTGAAGGCGGCGTTTCTCCAGCAGCCGCGTTTTGAGCTGCTTTGCAGAGTTTATTATGGCTCGGAACGAAGATGACGATTATGAGTACAGAATCAAAGAGGGAGACCACATAGTGTTGAAAAGAGGGGACGTCTACAAAGCGGCGCAAATTCAGCGGAAGAAGTAAGTCTGAAATGTTACACTTTCAGTTTATTGTGCGATAAGTCCTTATAGAGAGGGGCGCGCTGAGTTTGCCTGGTGACGGCGATTGACAGGACTTGGTTTGCAGAAAGGTGATCTTTGAGAAGCAGTGGATCCTGCTGGATAACGTGGTGGGACATCTGTACAGCACCACGTTTGAGGTTGCCTCCGGAGGAACATTGCAGCCGAAGAAAGACAAGGAGTCGGAAAGCTCCACAGGTGTGCCAAACAATTACGATCTGACTTTCATTTTTCTCCCCATGGTAGAGTGGTAAGAAGGGAATATGCAATAGTGGTAGATTTACACTAACCTTTCTTTGCCAAGCTGAAAACTGAAATTCTGAGGAACTTTCAAAACTAGGGAATGATGAAAATATGCTAATCAGATAAGACTGGATAGTGAATAAAATAAATCTGCATAAAATATTAGTGAACGACACACAAAGAAAAATGCTGAAGGATCAGGTTGCTTCATTTAGTTTTAAAGGCGTATTCAGGAATTATTGATACAGTGATACATTCATCAGAATTGACAACCTGGCCAAATTTGTAATTTTCCATCAACAAAGTCAAATTTACACAAATATTAAATTCAAAATGAAGAAAATCTGTCTTTGCATCCAGGTATTTTTAATACCCCTTGACAGATTTTGTAAATAGATACATGGTTAGATGCAGAGGTCCTGATGAGCTTTTCTTTTGTAACTGTGCTTCACTGTCTCTCCGTGTGGCTCCTAGATGTGAAGGTGGCAGGTACGGACAACAGAAACATCATTGACGATGGAAAATCACAGAAACTCACCCGGGACGACATTGAGACGATGAAAGAGCAAGGTCTGAAGAACGAGGTACAAATGTAACTTGAACAAAGTCACTGAGCAGTTCCTCTCTAAAAATCCACAAAGACACAAATCGTGTTTGCTCATTTATGAGGGAGATTATACCTCACTCAGCGATTCTTCCTTCTTGCTCACCTAAGGATGGAGAAGAAGAGCCAGAAAAAAACTAATTGATGACAAACAACAGTCATGAAACACGCTCAGCTCTAATTTTTAAGTCTTGGTCCTTCAGTTGCAGCTCCCAAGGACATTGTTGTCAATGTATCTAATTTCTGTCAAGGTCTGGCACATTTACTAATCTGAAAAAGGTCAGACTCCCTTTCCAGGTAATCAATCCCCAATCAGAATTGGTCACGCATTAAATCGTCTGATATTGATCTCCAACTGATTTCTCAGCGTATATTTGGTTCATAATGAACTGAAATGATGAGAGTTAATGCATTATTATTTTATTTGTGTGCACCACAGGAAATCATTCAGCAGCTCATAGATAACAGTTCAACATTCAATAATAAGACTGAATATGCCCAGGATAAGTACATTAAGAAGAAGAAGAAAAAGTGAGTCACAAACACTCAAAACTGTTGCAGGCATCAATCAGTGTACTGTGTTAATGCTCCTGGTCTCATCGCCTGTTCTCGTCTCACTCCCTCCCAGGTATGAAAACACAGTGACGGTTCTGAAACCAACCTGCCGCGTCATAGCCATGATGTACCACGGCCGTGAACCCGGGAAGATCTGGTGAGACTGCACGTTGACAATCGGCAGGGTTTTTGAGAGGATGAAATGTCGGTTTGATTGCAACGATGTGTGCGTTTCCATGTGATGCAGCCATCTGCGGTACGACACGCTGGCGCAGATGTTGACTCTGGGAAACATCCATGCTGGCAGTAAAGTTCTAGTGTTTGAGACGTGTGCTGGACTTGTGCTGGGAGCCATCATGGAGAGAATGGGAGGCAGGTTTTCCTCAACAAGCCATTCTGTGCACCATCCACGCTTTAAAGAGTTCAGCGGAGTTTGACCGAAGCCTTTCTTCTGCCCTTTATGTAATTACTTTCTCTTCCCTCCCCGTCCAGGCTACGGCTCGGTGATTCAGATGTACCCAGGAGGTGGGCCGGTCCGGGCGGGGGTGGAGTGTTTTGGCTTCCCCGCACATTTTCACGATATGCTGCATGAGTTTCCCATCTGCCACGTCAACGCTTTGCTGGCAGGCACCCTGGACACCAGTGCCAAAGACCCCACTGCTGGTTGGGCATTCTTTCATCACTTTTGACAGATTTACTACAAATTAGAGCTGAACTGCCAATAACATCCAGGATTTATATATCTTTTGTTTTGTTTTGTTTTTCACTTGCGCCTCTACAAAAGGTGTTCATAACCTTTCAAGTTTTTCTCACTTTGTCACTTCACAGTGGCTCCTCCATGAAATGTTCAGTGGGGTTGCCACTGAAACTTCGGTGTATGTTATTGGATGTTTGTCTATAAATACAAAATGATGCATAATTATAAAATAGAACACAAACTGACTCAATTACCATCTGTTGTTTGCTTACCATCTTTGCTTAAAACCTTTAGTATGGTCGAATATACTGCTGATGCTCAGCTACTGTGTTTTTAAAAAGCTCCCTGTCTAATGTGTTTAGGTTTGATTACTTTGAGACGGTAAAAGTGTTATTTTCATTGTTCTGTTTTCAGAACTGCTTAGCTTGACTTCCCAGATCAGGATCCTCATTCTGTTGCCCTAAATTGTCTCCATTTATTTATGTGGTTGCTGTGCTTTATCTCTTCCAACATTGCAGAAGAAAAGCAGCACTTGAATGCAGCTGCAGAGCAGGAGCAAATCCAGCCTGGGGCAGAACAGCAGGAAGGCTCTCCAGCCAAGGAGAGGATGGAGACAAACGCCGGCGATGGTCAAGACCGGGAGAAAATTGAGAAGGAGAAACGCCAAGAAGCAAAAGTATTTTAACGCCACACCGCATTCTGCTAATTATCTATCAAATTAAAGCGATGCGTGTTTTGTAACTGGACTGCTTTTCCACTTTTAGGCTCAGGAAAGGAAGGTGAAGCTGGAGGAGAAGCGCCGGAAGCTGGTGGCCACAGCTGCCCTGCTGGAAGGCAGAAACGCTGACGGGTTGGTCTCCGATTCTTCGCCTCTGCGTTCAGATTCGTTTCTCTGCAGCACTCTGCTTCTCTCAGCAGCAGCCTCCTCCTCCCGTCCTGGCCCAGTGTACCAAGCAGAAGCCATTACGACACATTCACAGAGGGGAAAAATTATGAATGATTAAATCATTAACTATGTCCATAATAGTAGTTAAAAAAAAAAAAAAAAACGCCTTTCTCTGGGCTGGAAGTGATTACTGTGCAGTGCTCTTCCAAGGTGAACAGATTGATTGCTTTGCAGTTAACTCCCATGTTAAATAAAAGACCTTATAGCTTTTATGACTGATGGCTGAGCCATAAGAAGCTGACATCTCTGCCAGAAGTACAAGTATTGATCTTGTTCACTCATAGACTTTTCTATAACATACAGGCTTTACTGGAAGCTATAAACAATAAACAGAGCACAGTTTTCCTCTCTGTCCTAAGTCAGCCTTTTCGACAGCTTCTCGCGCAGCTGTAAGATGGTTTGTGGGTATTATGTTGCTTGAAGCACTGATGAGTTGAATTACCATCTTGCCGTGTTGCACTTTTCCAATTACATAATGTGCTGTTGAAACCGCTTTCTTTCGTTAGACATGTATGTTTGATCATCTGTTTGTTTTTTTTTGTCCCCTTGCTTGCAGGTTGGTGATAGCAAGTCAGTTTCACCCTTGCTCTGTTCTCTTGGGGTTGATTAAATTCCTCTCCCCTTCTCGGCCTTTTGTAGTCTTCTCTCAGTTCAAAGAGGTAAGATAATTCATGTTTCTACTTCTTAAGAATAAATGTTTATGTTGCAAAGATAATCATATCCCTTGGACTCAAACTGTCTTTTACAGAGGATCAACTTTTTGAACAAAAGTCCTGAAAAGTCCCTTTTCAATTGTAAAAAGAAAAAAAAAAAAACATGAACACTGCACATGACCTTGAACACACTGTTCCTCAGTGTGGAACATGGTGGTGGCAGCGTCATGCTGTAGGGATGCAGAGGAGAATAGAGATCATTTTGTTTTATCTTTAGATGTGCAAAGCTAGTGGTGATTTACCCCTCCAAAAAAACTTGAAGTTACACTTTTCAGAAGTTTATTCACAAAAGGTCTGTTTTACTTATTTTATTTTTTTATGTTTAAATTGCACACTATTTTATGTTACTCAGTCACATTAAAATTCATTGAGGTTTCCATTTCTAATGTGACAAACCGGAAAAGTTCAGGATGTATGAGTAATTGTGTCTTTGGAGGATAATTTACTATAGGGGAACAATTTAAAATAATAGCTAGTCTGTTTTTTTTTTTTTTTTTTTTTTTAAGATGTCTCATTCAATATCACTTGACTTCCTGTAAACGTATAAATTAATGTATTTTTTTATTTAAATCCTTTTGTTCTTTTCTGACTCCACGTCTTCAGACGCTAATTGAGTGCTACACAAAACTAAAGGAACAAGGTGGAACTGTCAACCTCATGCTCACCGACACCTGGCTCAGGCATTACCAGGTAAATGCCGCCACCGTGAATAAATACTGCATTGTTTGGTGTAAAATCCAGTTGGATCAGATTCAGTGTTTTACTTGTCAGGGTTCCTACACGGTCAGGAAAAAGCATAAAGTTCATGCCAGCTGGTTTCCTGATCTGAATACGTATTCAAAAAGAGTTTGTGAACTCCTTTTTATACGCATTTTATGTATGGACCTTTATTCCCTATCCAGTTATCTGCCTGATCAAATCAAAATCAGCATTTCTAATAAGAACCTGCAGCTGTCAGATTGCTTTTCTTCTCATTTTTTATTTAAAAATAATAAAAGCCATTCATTATTTGTCCATCTAATAAGCCATGTATCCACTGTTAGCCATGGTGAACCTTTATTTCCATCTCGAAATTTACTGAGAAATGTGTTAGTACATCTAAATTGTAGAATTCTGCATCAAAAATATGTAGGAAAAATGTTTTTTAATAGTCTCCAATTATATAATTTTGCACTTCTGATGTTTGGTTTAAACCAACATGAGCATCATTGGTTTGCAGAGCAGTTAGTCATATTTATAAGCATATCATAATTTCTGCACTTAGTGTTAGAATTAGCAAATTGACTGTAAAACATAATGACGAAACATCCAGCTTAACCTCTCATTTTCTGTCACTTCGTTCATCTTTTTACACTTGTGTAAATACTCCATTTAAAAAACTTTTCTTTGCGCCAGTTTGTGGTACAAAGTAGAGAACAGGCGGGCTTGTTTCTCCCAGAGTTAATTCCTCCCGACTTGTCTCTTGTTTTGTCTCCAGGTGTTGCCTGACAGGACACATCCTCTGCTCCTGATGAGCGGGGGCGGGGGCTACCTCCTCTCAGGGACAACCGTGGCCACGGACCACTCCGAACCGGCAGCCGAGGAACCAGCTCCAAAGAGACAAAAAGTGGAAGACTCCTAGGGGCGAACGCATGCAGAAGGATCCGATCTTCTCCGAGGCACGTTGGTGTCACCTGCAGGGACTTTGCTCCAGACTCTGTCGAACTGAAGTGACACCGCTGCAGAAAAGGAGACTGGGTGTCTGGTTTGTGTTCATCAGAACACCTTCTCCTGTCTTTGTCCTCAGATCAGCTGAGAGGTAAAGTGTAACCCTAGAAACACTCCATGTGCTCCTTTATGTAAGAGATGGCTGAATTCATTTCTTTTAAGTGACAAGTTTGTGTTATTTCCCTTGACAGCTATTGCTGAAGTTGTATTTTATTTAGTAACTTCCTATACAATTCAGTTGCTATTGTAGGTTTATTTTATCTACTTCTGGATTTATACACAGTAAAAAAAATCACTGGAAAATAAACGGTGGAATGTGAACCGCATCAATTCTGGAAATAAATTCGACTTTGATTTGGTCCCAGGATAAATCATTTTGCTTTGTTTTATTGAATGCAAACAGAAGGAGAGCCGTCGAATACATTTAAATCATTTGTCTCTGTTGATATTTTCATATCATCACAAAGCGCATATAAACATCCAAGCCGTTCCCATGCTGTTTTAATTTCGACGTAACATCACAAATACATCAAATAAAGCACGTAGGATGTGAGCTTTGCAAATTTTTTTCTTTCTTTTTTTTTTTAACACAAAGCACATTAAATAGGTAGATGCACAGTAACTTGGCATGGATCACAGACGGTAGTTAAATGCTCTGGGATTATGCGGTCTTGTCATGCAACTTGGCTGCGATTTTCTGCAGCTCCATGTCCATCGCTGCCAGGTTTTCCAGCTGTTTCTCCTGTTGGGGAGCAGAGGGGGATAAATTATTTATTTTTAAGATCTGGAACCAACAAACATTACATAATTACTACTTTATGCCATTCAACATAAACAATGTTCAGTTTGACTTCACCAGCACTTCAATAAAAGTTCGGTTGAGTTGGGAAGAAGGGTCCCAGTTTAATTTGTTGGGCTGAAATGTGACGCGCGTCCACAGAAAACTGGCAATTATGAAGATATAATTGCCCACAACTATCAAAATAGCAATTTCCTTTGCATACTTACCAAATTTATTGTCATATTTTAAAGAAATCTAAGATTAAAATAAGAGTAATTTGGAAAATATTTTAAGTGAGCCATTCCAAAACTGTCAGAACTCATTTCTTACGTGTGTCCCAGTGTTTGGGACCCTGAGCCTTTGCCTGGTTTGCTACAGCATTTATGTAAGCCTGTCCCTGTGTGAGGAGCACCCCTGTAATAGGTTAATAGCTCGCTTGGGTTACATATTCCCTTCTTATCCTGCAAGATGCAGCGTCGTGGAACGAATGAATCACTTTGATGCTGTCTCTGTAATTTGTTTTTTCCCCGCTCTAATGTTTGAGATGAGATAAGCCTCTAGTCCTCCACACTTTTATGAGCATCTTTGGGCTGATTTCTCTCAGAGACTCCAATCATTCACTCCTTGGTATGATTACTGCAGCAGTCATAAAATACCGGCGCGGGGAAGTCAAACGGAATAAACAAGAAGACGCGCCGTAGTGAGACCGAGGCCGAGTCAACCAAGTACAATGTGTCATTTGCAGAGATGTTGTGTAAAATAAATGTGCTCTGCTCAAGCCTCGCAAATATGCATAAACCTGCTACGCTTTGGCTGCTCCCTGGTCTCAAATGACTTGCATGCAGTTGAAATGATGCACTTCCAACAAAATGAGTTCTGTTGTTGCCTCTGCAAAAATATTAAATCATGAAGAAAGCTGTACACTTGGACAATTAGTCAAAAAACAGCATGACCGAACCTCCGGTGGTGTAAGCTCTCTCTGCTGTGAACTCCTCTTGTCCTCCTCTTTAGCAGACTGGTTAGCCAGCTGGTTTAACTTATAACTAAGCAGCTTGGACAGTTCATCCATCTAAAACAATGAAATGGAACAATTAGACATCTTAGCAATGAGGTCTGGGATTGTAGAACTTCAGGGCATTTAAGGCATGTTCTAAAACTTCTGAAAGCTTCATTAAAGTCTTTATTAAAGTTTAATGCAAACAGGTTAAACTAAAATGATCATTGGAGGCTCACCTTAGCGGATGTTGCAGCATGTTCATCTGAGTCTCTCTTATACCAGGCCGGGTGGTAATAGCCTCTGTAAATCCAGGGATTGCGTTTCTCAGCTAGGTACCTAAAAATGATCAATTGAGATGCCACATATATTTTGTTAGTTCATTCCAACAGCTTCACGTTACTCCATTTATGTCTTGCAACAAAAATGACGAAATCCACAATCCCCTGCATATAAGGGTCAGCAGCAAAAGAGTAAAGTAAGAATACCTCAAGGCTTCGTCTCTGTTCTTTTCCTCGTCTGTGTTCTCTTCCGAGTCGCCCCTCGGCTCCATCTCTTCCTCTGACGATCCTCGTTTGTGAAGTCTCTTCTTGTGGTGGTACCTGTGTGTGGGCTTCCAGATCCGCTTTTCTATCTCTACATCTTCTTTGTCGTCTCTCTTGTCAAAATCCCAATATTCTTGACTGCGCTCTTCCTCTGGCTCTTCCCTGCCGTCCTCTCCGAGCTCTTCGGCACGCTTGTGTTTCCTCTGGTGGTGCCTGCCGGGCCTCCAGCTCCTCTTATCTCGTTCTGTGGCAAAGTCCCAGTATTCCTGGCTCCGTTCTTCGTCGGGCTCGTCTCTGGCTTCTTCCGAAATCTCCTCGTCGCGTTTGTGTCTCCTTTGGGAATGCCTGCCAGGTCTCCAGTCCCTCTTCTCTCTCCCAGTATCAAAATCCCAATATTCCTGGCTGCGGTCCTCGTCAGGTTCTTCCTTGGCGTCCTCTGAAAGCCTGTCTTCGCGTTTGTGTCTCCTTTGGGAATGCCTGCCAGGCCTCCAGTCCCTCTTATCTCTTCCGGTGTCAAAATCCCAATTCTCCTGGCTGCGGTTTTCATTAGGTTCTTCCTTTGGCTCCTCCGAAAGCTCCTCATCTCGCTTCTGTCTCCTTTGGTGATACCTTCCCGCCCTCCACTCCCTCTTTTCTCTCCCAGTGTCAATGTCCCAAAGTTCCTGGCTTCGGTCCTCCTCAGGCTCTTCCCTTGCTTCTTCCGATAGCTCCTCGTCGCGCTTGTTTCTCCTCTGGTGGAATCGGCCAGCCTTCCAGCTCCTCTTGTCAACGTCCCAGGATTCCTGGCTGCGGTCCTCGTATCCCTCACCCTCGGATGGTTCGTCGCTGCGCCTGTGGATCTTTATCTTGTGATGATAGCGATGTGTGGGTTTCCATATGCGCTTTTCTCTCGCCTCCTCCTCGTTCTCCAGCCTCTTGTCTGCATCCCAGTACTCTTGACTGCGTTCCTCCTCTGGCTCTCCCCCGTCCTCCTCGTCCCGTTTACTTTTCCTTTGGTAGTGCCTTCCGGGCCTCCAGCTCCTCTTGTCTCGTTCTTCACTTTCTCCGTCCTCTTCTTCGTCGTCTGACCTCCTTTCAGTGCCTCCCCAGCTCTCCTGACTGCGGTCGTAATCTTCCTCTCCTCGTTTGCTCTTCCTCTGGTGGAATCTTCCTGGCCTCCAGCTGCTCCGCTTCTCTCGTATTTCTTCCTCCTGATCCCCATCCCGCTTCTCGATCAGACTCCAGGATTCCTGGTTCCGCTCATCTTCAGGGGTTTCCCTCTTTTCCTCCACAGATTTCAGCAGTGCCTCAATGTCTTTGACGTCCGCCGTCTTTGCCGTAGGGGCTCCCGCACGAGAGATTTCCTCCGTAGTCTCTTTGTTCACTGGGGCATATTTGACACCTAAGGAAAAATAAAGGGGGAGGAGGGCAAAGAGCAAAATTGTTAACTTTGACTGGATTAGCTGATTTCAGCCTCTAGAGTCTGTCATAGGGTCTTGCAAACTTAATCTACGGCGTAACATTTGGGAATCGATCAATTTCTGGAGAGTGGAAAGAAAGTTGAGTTACTTCAATCTGAGCTTCATGAACAAGAAAGTCAAATGACGTCCCTTTTTCCAGTTTTGCACAAAGGGATCCAGTAAAGATGTTTACTTAAAAGCCAACAAGCTCAGTTGTTGGCTTTCAAGTAAAATGCTCAGTATGGAGGAGAACCGACACATCACTATGAACTCTCCACTATGAAACATGGTGGTGGCCGTATAATGGTGCGGAGATGCTTTGTAGTAGCAAGTAAGCTGATCATAGTTTTAAGGAAAAGCTCAATGTAGTTAAATGCAGGGACAATCTTTTATCAAACCTGCAAAGGACTGAGAAAAAGTAGAGATTTCAGCACAATTAACCACCTTAAACATGCGGCCGATTTAGGAATCTGTGGCAAGACTTGAAACATTTTTTTATGCTTTTCATTCAGTTCGACTATATGACTTATTTTTTAGAAAAATCTACAAAACAAAAAAATGTAGTCACTTGCAAAACTCCTACAGAAATACCTCCAAAAGATTTGCACATAAAATTTTGGCAAACAGTGGGGTTTTATTATTATTACAAAAAAATTATTAAAAAAACAAAGCACTCTTCTCCCCCCACCTCATAAAGAAGTCACTGTGACCTTAAATTAACAAATAAATTCCCCAAAATATCCAAATTTATAGTGCGTTTTAAACCCAAAACGCACTATTTGAATCTTCCTTATAGTTTCCAACTCCATTCATTCAACCCGACAGAGAGCAACAACAACAATACACACACAAAAAAATTGTATCGATTATACATATGTATGTATTATAAACGCCTAAGTTGTATTTTTCCAACAAACCTGCTTGGAGAACATCTACGCATTCCTGATCCAAATGAACATCCGGCTTGGACAGCGCTTTGGTCAAGACTTCGACCAGACATCGTGCAACCTGCGGGGGTCAAAGACAGCATCTTATTCTGTTCCAAGACAGTTGAGTTGAAACTAACAAAACCATTACTATATTTTTGCATACCACATCTTTTTGCTCCTCTTTGCCAACTGGGAGCGCGACGGTTTCTGTGCAGGAATGGAAGAAAAAAAAAAGTGGGATTTAGTCAAACGCGAAGCTGCGAGGCTGATCTCTGTCCTTGGTGCTGAACTCATTATCAACTATCTGTACGGACGCAAAAAAACAACACAAAACACAAAAGAATAGAAAAAGAATTGTGAATAAAAAACAACAACAAAACCATTCGCTCTTACCTGCAAGAAGAGCAAAAACCACGATAAGCGCAGGCTTCATTTTGCAGTAGTGAGGGGACCGCCGGAGAAAAAGTGGCCCCGCTGTAGCATCAGGCTCTCGTCTCTCGTCCCTCTGCAGCGCCGACTGGGGAGGTGGAGCGAGGAGCGCCTTCAAATAGAGGAGGGGAGTGGGCCGTGGGGCTGTTGGGCTGCGGGGAGCGTGGGAGGAAGACTCGGGGCTCGGATGATGTCACGACTCATTAGAGCCGCGAAGGAAAGTGACCTGAACGAAAGTCGATGCACAACGTGGTCGATATTTATTCGGGAGTGAGTGTCTTTAATCCGGTCGGTGTCGCGATGCATCCAGGTGATAATTTACAGGGTTTTGTTTTTTTTGTTTTGTTTTTTTAATTAGGGGGATGTTGCAGTTGGCAGGGTTTTTTTTTTCTGTCGTGCTCATCATGAGAAGCCTGGTGGGACAGGGGTTTGTTGAACAAAAAAAAAATACATCACGGAGGTTTATATAATTTGATGCCTAGTCCCTGAATAACCTGAATAGTTGAAGATTCATAAGCAGGGGGAACTACTGAAAATGAAAATCTGGCGAGGCGGATCATGACTTATGGTTGAAACAATAACTGGTAGAAATACAGTGACTCCTAATTTTAATTTATTATTGCCCCTGTCACTCAAATATACTTTCCCAGAACTTACACACACACACACACACACACACACACACACACACACACACACACACACACACACACACAACACACACACACACAAAGTTATTTCCGTGTGTTTGTACGACTTGGTTTATTTCAATAAAGCCTGCATGCGGGGCATCGATAACACTGCCACCCACTGTTCAATCTGTGTCATTGCACACGCCGTCCCGTTCGCCCTTCCTCTTTTGACTTCACTCCAAAAAGTACAATTGAAAAACGAGCAGGCATTGAAAGCTAAATTAACTTGGGAAAAGGATCATTCACTTCCTGCACTTTTTAAGTTATTCTGCAGCCTTAATATCAAAAATAAATCAGAACATAATGAGTCACTCAGTCGCCCCATGGATGGATGGATGGATTTCTGACTTTAACATAAAAATTAGATGCTGTGCTTCAACCCTCCATAATTGCTACTAAATAATACAGTTAGGGTTTGATTTGCCTGTGTGTAATTTCTATGCTTGTTCTGATGACGAGAAAGCATTGGAAATAATTTTTCTCTCATAAATATTGGAGATTTTTGTTGCTATGTCTTGATTTTGAAATCCATGTGAAGTTACGTGAAAACATATCAATGCTTACATCTGCAAGCATTGCTGTACGGAAAAAAATTATCATCATTGAACTGTCCACTGAGCTGAACAGCAAATCCTGAGCACCAATCATTGCAAGATAGAGAAAAAAAAAAGCACAACAAAGAGCCAGTTTCTTCTTGCACGAAACTGAGTGCCGTTTGAGGGCATATTTTCCAATCTGAAGGCAGAAGTTTTCTTCTTTTTTTTCCCCCAACTTTTTTTTTCTTCTTCACGTGAAACTATCATAAATTTGGATCGGGCTGGCGCAAACTGAAACGAGCGGCTCAAACGCGCGGAACCCAAACGAACATTTCATCTGACGCGACTTCGTGTCTGCTCCCTCCTGCAGCCAGCCGCCTGTTGCTCCGCATTGCGCGCGCCTTCATTCACGAAAGTTGAAATAATTCCGCCTCAAGTGTGGCGACGAGCGTGTGACGATGACATGTTTTGCACCGCGACCACTGTGCCAGAATGCGCACATGCAAATCCGATCATTGTCTCATAGGAACCTGGGGGCCCAGAAACCACAGTGGCTGCAGGCAAAAACGGGAGCGACGTGCTCCATAAATCTGCCCGGCTGTGCTTCTCATGCGTACGCGACGGGTTACAGATATTTGTGACTGCAGACGTGGTAAAATAATAAGTGGCCCGTGCATGGAACTGTGATGCTCGATGGCGTATTGCGCGTTCAAGCAATCCGTGCTCATCCGAAGCGTGTCCACAGTCTTGGTCTTTGCTGTAATTTATAGGGAGGGGGCCACTTCAGTTTTGCGTGCTGTGTTCAGTGAGCAGGAGCAGTGTAAAGTTCTGCTGCGGATAAAAATCTCTTGAAAAGGTCTTGTCACGGCTCACGATTCATCCAGTCGGTATTAAAAATCGCTGAACCACTTTTCACACACACAGCACTTTTCCTGCGTGGTTCTCTAAATGTGTGTGCATCTGGTCCTCTGTGGCTTTGTGCTCTTCTTCCAGCCCTGATGAATATTTTAGTGAGCCTCAAAGACATAAAGCAGTGTAAAGGTGGCGCAGGAGGGATTTGAGATGCACAGCCCAATGTGTTTTCATTGTCTTAACTTGCATTTGGAACAACGGCCGCTTTCATCGCGGCTCATTTTTCATCAATGCACAAAAGGCAAGCTGCTGACAATGAACACAACGCTATTGATGCATGAAAGCTTTGAGTGAGCTTTGATCTTTGGTCAAAGACGCGTGTTTCCAATTTATTCCAGGCCCTTTTTAACCACTTGAACATTTTGCTGAGACGTTTTTGTCTTCTCTGGGGGGAGAAAACAAAAAGATTGTAGGTTCAAATTCAGCTTCCTTCTTGCCCTAGGGTCACATTATCGTGACTCTAGGGCAAATCACCAAGTTGCCCACAGAGCTGCATATCAGTGTATAAATGCGTATGCGAATGGGTAGAGCGATTGGTTCAATGATTCTGTGTGGTGTCAGAAACTCCTTTAAACAGAGTTGCAGGTTGTTTCAGTTCAACTCTTCAACTCCTACTTTCATACCACGCTGACAGAGTTAATGAATAATCCAGGGAGGTTAAGTTGCTGAAAGCAGCAGGCCATTTTCTGTTCACGTTTTTTTTGCATGGACGGCAACACGCAGCAAGTCGACCCAAACTCCACTGAAAGCGTCCATCGAGTCCAATGCTCGCAAACTGAAAGTCACCATTTCTTCACTCAAAGCGAAGAACATGTGCTTCGTCTTGCGTCTGAGCATGTACATGTGGCGTGGAAAACACAATGGCAAAAGACAAAATCCTTAATGCGCACATCGCATTCTTGACACCTGTTTTCGTGCCCAACGTCAAATCTCGTTTGTGGAAAAACTCGTGAAAAAAAAAAGGAATTCCTGACATTCAGGGTTGGAGTTTACGTCAAACCCAAAGGTGTCATTGAACGCCACGCCGAAAGTAAGAGACAAGTCCCCCTCAGGGAGGGAGCTGAGGTCAGTGTGACTCTCTGAAGCTTTACACCGATTGACAAGAGTTAAACCTTTGAGCCCGAAGGCAAACTCAGACAAAACAATTTAATTCCTCTCTCACTGCTGCGCGGGCGCTGACTTCAGCCTCCTTAATGTTATCACTCCTGTGAGGAACATTTAACATCAGTGTCAATTAAACCAAGAACAAGAAGGTCACAGGAGTGAAGCCACTTAAGGGCAAAATCAGTCATCTTTACCAATGAGAGACCTTCGAGTTTTTAAACATCTTTCTGATGATTGGACATATTTTATTACTCTGAAAACTTGCACTATGCATATGATCTTATTCAAACTCTACTAAAGTGTCAGATTAAGACTCAGTATAAAACTTGACCATTTAAAATATATTCTTCAACATGAAAAATGTTTATGCATGCATTTTTTTTTTAGAAATTAGAAGCTTATTCAACCCTGATATACCATTAATCCAGCTTCTACCTCTTTACCACTCAAAGTGCAAAGGTTATCAGAGTGTATTAATGGGTGGAGCCAAATATGAGACAATCCTACAAAAGAAAAAAAAAACACTTTAAAGGCTGCTAAAAACTTGAGATTGGGTGGCCCAGTCAAAGTCCAGACCTGAGTTCAACTGAAACTCTGTAGCAAGACTCAAAAATTGATGTTTACTGAGACTCTCCCTACAATCCAACTATGGTGAAGACATTTTACAAAGAAGAATTGTGGGTTTTCTGTAGGAAAATACACCAAAAACACTCACTTGTTTTTTTTTCTGCGATTATTTTGGATTTCTGTGTCAATTGAGTGTTGTCCTGTCTACCCCTTGATTGGTCTCACCTGTTCCTTGTTTTCCCCGGGTGTCTCCTTGTGCTATGTCCACTGTTTACTTGTCGGGTCCTCGTCTTATCTCGGCTATTCTATGCTACGCTATGCTATGCTACCGTCTTATCTGCTGTCAAGTCTGTCGTCAGACGTCTATTTATGAGCTCTTAGCTTTCTGCTCATTCTGTGCTGCCCGGACTCTGGATTATTGTGCTTAAATCATAGTTTTCTCCCCATAACCTGGGTCAGGCACTAAGGTACTCTGAATATTAATGTTAATAAAAAATGTTTCTAAAAAAGAAAAAAAAAAAGAAAAATCATAGACTCATGAAAGATTATCAGACTTATGGATCTGCTTTATTCCACTTCTGAATAATGGGCTACTTTGTGCGGTTCCATCACATTAAATCTTACGAAAACACATTGCTGACTCCAGTTGCAGAGTGACCCGGTGTGAAAAAAGTCGACAACTTTCATAAACAAGAAAGTTCTTGTTAAATGTCTCCTGCTTGCAGCAATGTCAGAGTTACACTGGTAAACAAAGAGCTGGCTCCCTGCTAGCCTCTGGCACCTGTAGCTCTCAAACCTCGACGTCACTTCATCTGCTGCTCCCTGTTCTGGCTTTGCCTCTATTTACAGCATGCATTGGTTTTGATTGCTGATTTGTAGCCATGAACGCCCACAGGGCAGGGCCAAGAATATAGCGAGTCCTGAGAATATAGCGAGGTACTGCGAATTTCAATCAGATGCTCCATTGTCATATTGGAAGATTGATCTCGCTCCTAATGTTTTGAAAGGCATAAAAACGTATTATAGCCATGTTAATACGGTTAGTTTATCAGAAGGAAGCTTCAATGTCTTGTGCTCTTGTTTTCCGTTCCAGATGTATGCTCTCTTCCCAAATGTGTTTTGTTGTTTTGTTGGGTTTTTTTTCCATGACATATTGAAGTGATTTTGTCAGCAGCAAAGTACAACGAGGCACCAACAGACGGCAATGAAGCAGAGTAGGACAGACAGAAAGATGTTGTTGGATGTGGATCGCTGGGTTTGTCCGCATTCATTTCAGCACCGACCCTGAAACGAGTTGGTACTGACTCATCAACTGCACCACAGGGGGTGTACGACGTAGCAGTGTGAATTAGTGAGGGATGATGGTTACATCAAAACTGCAGGAGCAGCTTCGATGGGCAATAGTCCCCTTTTGTAGATTTGGGTTAAACGACGAGACACCGTGCCGGTGATGAAAACTGGGAAGAGGGAAGCATATGCCGCTGCACCCCATTAAGATTTAATTTACCACAGTTCCTTTCTTCGTACAGAAGACTTGCATACATCCTGTCATGTGAGACCATCTTTCTGTTGTTGGGTAATAAGAAGATAGATGACGACGTAGAGTCATCAGCTAAGAAGCAAGCCAGAACAATTTCGAGAACTGTGATTAAACTCTTTGAGTTAGATTTAACATCATGGTTTCTAACGCTGAGGAATATTGGATTGTGTGTTTTTTCTTTACGTTTGAGCTGAGTTTGTTCTTAAATTCATCTCACCACATTATATTTAGGCTTTGGCAGTGAAAAAATTGTACCGGGTACGTTCCTGGAACATTTTGGAAAAGTGAGCTCCAAGTTTCAAGAAAATATGAGCTATAGATTATGTGGAGCTCCTAGTTCTTCTTCCCTGGTTGATCCTTCATATCAACGCGTGACGAACTTGAATTCTTACCTGGATGAAGTGGAAAGAGAGGGATCAAATAATTTGGACCAACGGCATTCATTGCAAAGGCAGCGATAAATCTCTCTGCCGATGGTTCATATTGGAAAAAAACAAAACAAAAAAAAAAAAAACAAATCATTCTGAATTGTGCCCACAACTCAGAACGATTGAACTGTGACTGCATCCTCATAAACGGCACAATAAAACTGAAGCATGGCGATCTCTGCTGCACACCACCGCTTTTTCTGCAGTCGTAATTGTGACGAGAGCTCAGCATGGCAGCACAGTTTGAGATGTACGACCCGGGACAGATTACTGTTGGTTTTTGAGCAAAAAATAAAAATAAAAATCAATGAAAACATGCAATGACAAGATCTGCTTACTTCAAAACCCCAGGTGCATAATTACAGTATAATACAGTGTTTCTTGTTGTAAACAAAGTGCAATGACAAAGTATCATGTGGATTTCATTAGGACGTTTTAGTGGACTACTAAACACAATAATAAAAGTAAAAATAAATAAAAAATTGAACTCATCCAGTAGTAGAGGTGCTGCTGGTGCAAAATACCTCAGCAGGAAATAAGGCAATGTGCTCAAAAGTGTTGGTGCCACAGGCGCAGAAACTGTTACACAAACTCGCTTATTTTTCTCAAGTTAATATTTTTACAGTTTGCATTATTTTGTATGTGAATATTCATAAGGGATGGCTCGATGTTCTGCTCCAAATTATTCAGCTTTTAATTCATGCTCATTGTGATTTTTTTTTTCGCCCTCCCATTACAAAACTCACTAGACTCTTAAATCATTTTACTGAAATGAAAGCATTTATTGAAACACTTCATGAATAAAATAGCACTCAGAGGAAGTTGCAAAGGATTATAAATG